AAGGAAAACTTGAAATCGCATCATATGACCCCTTTAAGATGAAAAGAAAATGCCTCTTTTCTGAAGACAGTCATACAGTCTGACTGTTAGATATACATTCACGAATGCCCTGTCAGAATGACACATTTCGCCAAAAGGTGACAAGTTTGCAGGTATGTTAAAAGTCAGTGGTCTTACCCGGAGATGGGGTTTTAAACCTGTTGCTGGTTTCGTTCTCTCCAGCCTCCTCGTGAGCTCGATCCCTGAAGTCCTTTTTACTGAGGTATTCTTCAAGCACTTTCAGGCCTTCACTTGACTGCAGGTCCACAAAACTGTCCAGGAAATCCCAGTACTCTGCCCAGGGGTGACCGAGCTCATGGGCCAGATCTCTACTCACAGACAGGGCACCATTATCTAAACAATGCTTAATAGCACTCTTAAATGCCAAAAACATTAAACAAGTGTCTATGATAATACAAGCTTCCTATGAATGACCAGCTTCCTTAAATTATATCTTAACGCTGACCTGCCAACTCTTTCTGCTCCACGGTCTGGGTCAGACTTTAGGATGTTATGGAAATGGTCTGCCCGTTCTCTGGGAGGAGTCTTCCACACTCGTCTGAACTCATCTGCCTATATTAAAAATGTTTTTAATTTATATACAAATTTGATTAGGTCATAAAACATGACTAAACATATTAGCACAAAACTCACTTTAGATGGACTTAAAGGTCCAGCAAAGGCCCTGACTGCCATAACTGGATCCTTTGGGCTTCTGGGTAACCGTGGTGACAGATTTTCCATTGGTTCAGGGGACCAAGGTGCACCAATCACAGGTTGGGAGGAGTTATCTGTAGCTCTCAATAAGGGGATGTATAATCGATCTGTAGCCAATAAGAAATCAGTGTTAGAATATTGAATACAACTAATCTACATTTTTTAAGTATAATAAATAAATTCAAAACTATACATCGCTGACTTGCCTTCTAAATATTCATTTATCTTCTGTTTGACCTCCTGAAATTGACCCTTTTCTTTCATTCTTTCACAAATGACCTAAATTAAGAGAATACATTAGACGACTGATAAATAAGCTTTGGTAAATTATTAAATCTTCAGCATGAAAGCTAATGCATCACAGTTGCTGTACCTCAGAGGGCTTCTGGTTGTACTTGTTCTTGCAGTTCTTGTCGATATCTGGATGAGAACACAGTATGTTCACCACCTCTGGACAGCCAAACTTGCATGCAAAGTGAAGCGGCGTCTCAAATCCCTGTGAAACACCAGACAGAGCATTCAGGTGGGACTGTTCCAAACCCCAGTGAGCCGCCTGCCTAGACAGTATTCCAGGTATAATATAAAAGTACCAGACACAATAGATGCTCCAAACAGTGTCATCAAAATAATGCTGGCTTATATGATATTGTCTTTGTCAAATTCTGAGGCAGTAATGAATGTATCATCCTACAATGCATTATGAAGTTTTTAATCCAAGATGGCAACTGGAGTTGAACCTAAGTATTTTGTTCAGAAATGATAAAAACCTGTAGAAATATTTTTGTGCTTATCAGAATATATTCAATATTTGAACAGTTAAATAACAAAGACAGATAAAAAGCACCACTTACAGCTTTATCTGGCGTGTTAAGGTACAAGTCTACGATATATCGGATGCGTTTCTGCAGCATGCTCTCCTGATCATCTGGATACATAAGCCGCATGAAATCTGGGTTCTCAAGAGTGTCCAGCAGGATCTGAACAATGCCTGGCTGGTTCTCCTTAGCAGCCACATGCATCACATTATACCTGCAGCCCTCCTGCAGTCAGATTCACAATAGACAAACATTCAGAAGAACAGCACTGAGAGATCGATAAGTTTAGATAACATGTAAAAAAAAATTTTTTTTTTTAAATCGAAGAACACGCTGAAAGGTAAACAGCTGAATTCATACACATGGGAAATGGAGCATGTGGAAATATTTGGGTTTGTAAATAAATAACATAATATAAAGATACCAGGCTAGTTTGGAAAGAGACTTTGAACTTTGCAAAGAAGCCAACAGCTCACCATATCAAGTGGAAAAACAGCCAAAACAACTTCATACAAACCGATTACGGTACAAAAGCTTTCACCTGGACTACAGTAGGGTTGTCCCCTGACCCGATGAGGTAACGAGGGTTGCTCCACACCAACTCGGTAAAGGACATCTCATCTCCCTTCTCCACAGCCTTCCTTAGCTTGGCCGTCAAATCTTGCGTCCGAGGGCTCTTAAAACTGTTCGCCTTCTCCCTGTTGATTGTGTCTGCCTCCATCATAGATGGGTGGTCTAGTTTTGGGAATTTAACAGAAAAAACTTTTACATTTACAGTTTTTAATACATGATTATCTTAGCTTAACATACATTTTTATTATCAGAAATTTTAATATATAACATTCATATTAGGGGTGGGAGAAAAAAATAATCGATTCACATATGAATCTCGATTCAGTCTTCTAGCATTTCCATTCGATTCATACATTTCAAAAATCTATTTTCTAGTTAATATAATAATAATAACAACATGATGTTGTCGGAACAAGGCAGCAACAGCAATGGAGGAGGGAAAACAAATACATCTTGCCCTATTTTCACTGAGGGCAAGTGTTTGGAAAAATATATTAATTGTTGATCTTTTGTTGTTATTATTGGAAGTAGGGCTGCACGATTAATCGAATGCGATTGTCATGTGCATTTTGTTAGTAATGCCGGTTCTGTAATCAGCAGGAAATCATCATCACGTGCTTTCAGATGGAGCAGAATTTACTACACATAGCCGTAGTTCACTGACAAGTTACGCAAAAAAAAATCGCAGACGATTTTATTGCGCGTTTAAGAAATCGTTAGCGATAATGACAGCTGTTTGCATAGCTTCTCAGTGCACTACGGCTGTGAAGTAAATGCTGCTCCATCTGAAAGCATGTGAAAATACCACATTTAATAACATATTTTTACTCCAAACTCACTTCATAACGTCAGTCGAGTGTTTGAAATAAATCCTTCTGTGAGATGATGTGGCTTCTTACACAGAATAAGGCACGCAACATATTTCATAGTATTCTAAGCAGTGATAAAGGCATTGCATTATAAATATACTTTATTGTAATGAAAATTATAATAATAAGAACTCAGATAAACCGTATATTGCCATAGTCGTGTGTTTATTAGTCACGTTGAATCAATAAAAGCAGTTAAATCTTCTGTTTATCCAGCTAC